AGGGCGATAGTACGAGCTAAGCCTGGTAACATCCCCCGGTCGGCGAACACACCTACACGAAAAGATAAATCGCTCTCTCAAAACCCCCAATTAATTCCCGACCGTAACAATATAATGGAACATTGGCATAAGGGCAACCAACCAGTCTGAGAGACAAAACAAAAATTTTCACCTGGGGGAAGGGGTTGTGCTAAGGGTAAAATGAGTTTGTTTTGTCTTCAGCAAATTATGAATACCAAGTTCTATGTCATAATTCAGTATTAGTCCTTAAATTCTCCATCTCCCTTTGCTTAACCAATATAAAGTCTAGTTTTCTTACCTCAGTATTTAGATTATTAAAGCCCCATTTGATTAAGGTTGAATTGTAGTAGATTATCATAATGTATATTGATAATTAATTTTCAGATTTTTTTTATTAATTAGTCTGTGATTGTAAAGCTGTTTGTATTATATGTCAGTTATATAAAACTGAAATGTGCAAGTGCATGCTAAAGAAGACAAATTATATATTTAAAGCAACTGTCAAAATATATATAAATTTCTGGGCAAGTTTACATAAGAGTCTATTCTGAACAAATTAGAATGAGCTCTCATAGGAATCTATCATAATAAGAACATATATCAATATAATTGAAAAAACAGCAACTTTAACAGTCTCCTGTAGTTGTGCTCCACCAGCTCATAATAAGAGCCTACAAGTATCAACTTCAGAACATCCTGTTATCTGTTACATATATGTAAAAGATTTTTTCATAATAGCTGCCCATTATATATTACATGATGTAAGTACAGAAGTAGTGTTACGGTCGGATGGTCTGGGTTTTGGGAGAGCAATTAATCTTTCGCGTAGAGGAGTTCTTCCGGCCGGGCCAGATTTAGCTTCGTGCTACCACCCTTATTGCGGTAGTTGTTCAATTAAGACTGAATCTAAATCTACAAGTGACCTAATTTAATAATTAAAATGCGCGCTTTCTAACTCCCTATACGAGTTTCAGTCACTCGTAATCCAATTTTTGGTTTATTCGCACTTTTATATATATAAAGTTTTAAACAGGGCTATCTTCGATTTGGTTTTTCGACTAGTTGGATTCCGTCACTTGTACTAACTAATTAAACAATTTTCGGTTCAATAAATAATTATTAGCTGTTCCTCAATTAAGAGTGATAGATCAATGGACAGCTTACAGCTTAATAGTTTATGGACGTTTACAGCTTGGTAGAGCCGTTTATTAGTGGGTCCGGTCAAATAATTAACACTTCAATGATGAAAGAAAGTATAGTTTTTGATTTCAAAAGGAATCGTTTATTTGATTATTATTCAGTGGAATGGTACTATTATTATGACAACAACATTAACAACATGAAAATTCGACGATTGGATAAGACCTATTATTATCATAAGAGTATATGCAGTTGCTATCCATTTTACGTCAGAAATTACCTAATACTACATATATTTGAACACTAGTGTGCGCTAAGTTGGTTACAAGTCACACATAGATATTAATATATTTATTTTGTTTATACATATAATACAGTGGAATGTCGATCAATTTATAGCTTTCCTTTCCTTATCTTGCCACACATAGCTTCAATTTCACTCTAACCGGTTATGATTTTAACATTTCCGCATCCAAATTTTCTCCATCTCATATAAATGTCTTCATCAATATCGCCCTCTTCATCTCCGGATCTAATCTTACTAATGTTTCTGTAAGCAACTATGGCTGTCTTCATGTTTTTTCCCCAGAACCATGTCAGATCCGTTTTTTGCAAATAGTTCGTCCCTCCGATTTTATTCAGCTTATCAAAGGAGAAGGTGTTGGTGACATCGAATTTGAAGAACCTGTTACTGGTCAGTTTATTGCAAGTTGAATGGGTATATGCAATAAACAAATATTTGTGTTTCTCATCCAGTCCAGAATGAAAAGACCCGGTTACCATAGTTCCACTTCTTAGTCCGTCGTCAAATAAGTTGAACGAGCCATGCAGATTCGATCGAGATGAAGCAGGTTTGAATGTGAGCGTTGCATTTATTGGATTACTTATAGGCAGTTGCACGGCAGTAGCGAGCGCAATGACAGCCAGAAACAAAGTAAGGACAGGAAAGCGCGCACCGAATATAGAGTACATGTTGAGAGGCTTATGGACGGGACGAAACGTACTCAATAGTAAAAACAATATTTATATAAATAGAGAAATCTTGTTATTTCCTCTCTCGATATATTCGCTTGAGGTTGGCACTAGGGAGCGAATGAGAAAAAAAATACGCAGACTGATAAGTGGCTATTTTTATGTTGAAAACAATCTGTTGCGGTGTGCGATGTCATACAATATGTAATGTAACCGTTGTGATACTTATCCAGCTATTTATCAACCATTTAAGAGGTGAAACAAGTTCGAGGGGGTTGTGTAATGAAGATAAAAATAATACAAACAATAATGATAAGCAGTGTGGGAGATAAAGGAAGTGAGTAAAAGAGGTAGATTCCTTATTTGGCCGAAAAAGGAATACTTCAAGTTAGTGTTGACGATAACAGCTAATACCATGCTTTGAATTCCCTCAATACCAACCCAACGAACTAACATATTCGGGACGTTATCCAGCCAAGAACTGTTTCGCTAATTGAATAAACATAAACAGCTAGCAATGTTCTGAGAGCAGCAAGTCGCTATTACGGAGACATGCTGTTTGACGTCATACTGTATAACCATAGCCATGTGGGACTATGAATATCATACATAGGCCCCGTTTATACACAAAAGTTACGTTCTTTTTCTGCCTCTTTCATCAATTTATTAAAGATTCGAGTAGGCTCGCTCAATAGCTTGATTAAAAAGGCACAATTATTTCGAATGATATTATCAAGCGTCGATCGTCTGGTCGAAGAGTAATGGATTGCCTGTATTAATATGTAATAGTTGGTGTAACTTTATTTAGTATTAGGATGGCAATTATAATTAATGCATTCTATTTGTAACGCAAGAATAGTTTGCTAGAAAATCTGTAATCTAGAACAATCTTGTCACTAACGACAAGTTAATATTTAATTAATGCTTTTGTTGTTCTGGAAAAGGAATAAGAAATATTTGTTCTCTGACACGGTAAGCATCACGAAAATACTGGTTAGTTATCGTTCAAAGTTAAAGTATAGTAATAGACCGGATCGCTAAACAGATCTCATATAGCCCTAACCCATGATCAAGCATTTGGCAAAAGATCGAGCACACACCCACTTGATCAATGCATCAATGTAATGAATTATTCAAACTGTTAGCTTGCAATAAATCAAAAGTTTATGGAATATTAGCCTTGTATTATTCGAAGTAAGTCTAGACAGCATTTATTACCTAAAATCGGATAAAACCTAAAGTTCTTGTCTTCAGATATTGTTAAACAGAAAACTTTTTGTGAAACCTTTATTCATTTAATGAGAGAAAATATTGATCAAATGCTTGCAGTATTTATATTCGCGTTTTACCACTCATTATTGCTAGCTTTCATAATGCCACAGATGTATAATGTGATCATAGAATGAGCAACTGGCTACTAGCTGTTTCTGATCTTGTGAGTATGACCAGTCTACACCATAAGCCAAAGATTTGTGTTCTACAAAACTAGTATCCACAAACACTCTGCGTTGATCTATTTATATAGGGACATGTGTTAGTACAATATATTTGCGCCTGAATATCCTCTCTTACGTGATCAAGCTTACCATCTGATTCATCTATCTTGACTATGTGAAATCCATTGTGCATGCATGCAGCTACGAATACGTTATTAGATTTAGGATGCCATTTGAGTCTCCATACCCCTCCACCAAGGTGATGCTCAAGCAAGGGTTGTCTCATGATCCTGACATCCCACAAGTAAATATGTTCATCGTAACTGGGTAATTAAATTATTGTCAATAATAAGAAAGATACAAATACTGATTCATTAGTATTCTTACCCCCCACTGACTATATAGTTTTCATTATGAGGATTGGATTGGATACTGCAAACGCCTGCTTGATGCCTAACCCAGCAATGTTTGTTAGCAAAAAATCGGACCATGCTTTTGTCAACAAGGGTGTCGTCTTACTTTCTGTTGCAGAACACGGGAACAGACGGATCCGTTCTTATATCCCACCCTTTCATCAAACAATCATCACCACCTGCAACAAGGTAAGTAAGCGAACAATTTTTACATGCAAACCGTTTACAATGAATACATAGATACATAAATATCGCAAATTTACCGCTATAAACAATGTTTGTGTTCCAATAATTAAATGCTGCTATCCATGCACTGTATTCATGTGCCGTCCATTTAAACATGCAATCAATTCCTTGATCTGAGTCAATTGACAAAATTGATATCTGACCTTCGCTGTCAGACACAGCTACACGAGTCTCACTACACAAAAAGTACAGCTTAGTCATACGGAAAGAAGTAAAACTTTCTCAATTGTTATTCTATCTCACTCAGGCTTTATGCGATTAGACCAGTCTAGCGATAGATATAATTGGCCGCTCTTGTTTTTATCAAAATCTGTCACATGTTGTAAAGTGCTCTATATAAGATAACACACAGTAATTACAATTCAAGATTGAATACAGTAAAAAGCAACCAGAATTAGTCGCGCCGAAATATAGTAACAGACATGAATTTACCGTTTCATTTATTGCATACAAATCGACAGTGCCTGCAGCATCAGCAACTCCGAGCACAATTTTATCTTTAATTCTTTGATGTGACCTAGAATACATATATGTGATAATATCAGTGACTTATTCAACTAAAATTGTTCTCCAGGAATTAAATAACTGTCCAACCATTTCATGTCTAGTATTGCCGCAGTTTCAATCCTTTGTCGTTCGCGTCTAACATAAATCGCCAAACCATTAATCTTAATTATAAGTAATAACTACAAAAGTCAAGCCAACTGACGTACAGTGTAATTCTGTTTCCATTTTCCAAGGTTTCGTACAATAACAGTCTCCCAATGCGTTTCGTAGGTAAGATTGGTTCCTGCTCATTATCTTCTCCCGATTGGCCTGCATCAGCATTTTCCTCTTCCTTCACCTTTTCGGTTTCAACGAGTTGGTATGTGCCGCAAGTTACAAGATGCGAGTAGGAATCAAACGGTACGAATTCGATGGAATCGGCGCTATATTCACTATCATGAGAATAGATAGAACACGCAATATTTGCTATAAAGACAATTAGCTAATTCGGTGGGTAAATTAACTTTGTACATTGAGCTAAACAAGAAGATGTTATTAACCTGTCATTAGGTTATCAACGTTGCTTTGGTGTGTAATGTCCAATCCTTCCAAGATTTTGAATGACGATCATCGAAGACTCGAAAATGTTGTAATCACATGATGCCATCTAGGTTGAAATATACTAACATTAATGGGTGTCAGCGGTTTTCTTCGCGAGGCGGCTGCGCTCCCTCACCGTGACAATAGAGCTCTGTAGTGTCAATGCTTAGTGATGAGGCCA